GTTCCGATACGGCGCTTGGCGGGGTCTCACCTTAGGGATACTCTACCACTACTTCTCCGTCACCTCCTCCATCGCCGACGGAGAACGGGATTCCTAAGATACACGTCCATCACGTGTCTACCGAAGGTTCTACTGAATTTTCGAACAGGTTTCCACCGAAGTAAGGGTAGGGAAAGGTGAGGAAGAAGAGTTAAGGTTGACGACACGGTCAGAAGTGACTAAAATGTAAATGTAAGGGGATAGAAGGGGACCCCGACAGCAATGGAGGGTAGTCTTGCACTGTGGCCTAAGATTCGCTTCGGAGAGGAGGAGTATAGTGTAGCCCTGCCCGATGGTGAAGGAAGCTGGACGTGAAGACGGGAGATTAGGCCGTGTGAAGGAGATTATTTGAGCATGGAGACGAGGCCATCATGGTATACGGTTGGGACCGAGGCATGCAGCGGCACTACGACCGAGCAGCATGTGGAAACCGAAGAGTCTGCATGGAGACGCCATCTTCGAAGCTATCGCCGGTGGTAGACCTCTAGGGAGGGTACAAAGTGGTCAATGGTAGACTCCTAGAAAGGTTACAAGTGGGGAGCCAAGTGTTTAAGGCTGGTTTCGGGTTGCAAGAGACCTAGGGGACAAAGGAAATGCCGATGCGGAAGGTGGGGTTTCGGAGTTTGGGTTCTGGGTAGTCCTGCGTTCTTGAACTCCCATCTGTCAGGCGTGGATAAAGAGTAGTCTATTGAGTCCACGATCTAGTAGGAAGGGCTGTGAGCCTGTGACGCCCAACCTCACTCCCAGCACGACTTCCTGATCGGAGTAGAATGGGGGCCTGGAAGTGCGAAAAGGGGTGTGCCAAGGATTTTTGGGAAAGTGGTGGTGGAGTCCCAGGTCAGAACTGAGATCTCATGTGGCAGAGTTTTTCGGGGGCATGGGTGCAATTTGGCAGAGAGGGCAGACCACTTCTGGTCATAAGGCAGATGGCATGCGCGGGTTATTTATGGTCGTTCGATCCATTTGTGTAGAGGACGGCGGTTCATCGGAAGATCCCTTCGGGGTGGGTGTGTGACCCTGATGAGTCCGGTCATCGGTTGTCGCCACGTGGCGCCGGTCGTCGTACGTTCTGGTTGGGCCCTCGCAGTCCCGAGGCTCTCTGGTTGCCGTGCTGTCGGCAATTTCCGCAGGGCGTGTTGGGCCAGTAGGGGGCTATGGCTTTCCATGGGATGACCCTGAGTTGATGATATGGGAGAAGAAGACGGAAGGGAGGGAAGTTAGTGGAGATAACGACAAAGCCGGGGGAAATAAAGTAGTGAGTGTGGTCCATGGTGGGGAAATCCGAACACCGCGGATCGCTGGTTGTGGCACAGTGGAATTCCCTAGGGCACAGTCGGTTCTCGGTTAGGCAGGGGAACCTCTGGCGGAGACACTCCTCAATCCAAGGGGTGAAGTACTCCGGGTCGTACGATGAATCGGAGCTCCTGGAGCGCGTCATTATGTCATTGTAGAGCCGTGAAATTCCTAAGGACGTGTCTTCATCGATTGCGATCACCGCTTGTGAGTGCGTTAGGCTGCGCGACTCGCGCTTACACGTGTTCACATGGGATGATCGTTTCGTTACTGAGGCGGAAGGGCCGCATTCAATCAGGCAATACCCCTGCAATAGTTAAGTCTTTTTTATACGTGGTGGGTTGTGAATCGACGTGCGGGGACACGTGTAAGTGAGCAGATCAGATCGCACCTACACGCGGTCCTACGTGGCGTTCGCTGGTTTTCTGGGCAAACAGTTATACAATCATCTAATCCTTTCGTAATTTCTAAGCCGACAAGATGCAGCAATCGCAACAACTCAATCAATGGGTAAACAAGAACGAAAGCAGTATGGATGACTACACAAAATTCCTAGCCTACTCATGAAAGCATCCCGACGATTAGCGAAGGCAAAGATCATGCATACGGACAGTCAACCATTCATTCAATCATTCAACATAATGCGCACGATATCCAAGAGTGCATCAAGAGGGTAAACAAAGGCAAGGATCAGGCAGAAAGACAAGCAAACAGACACAACATTCATTCATCCATTCGCACACCATGTCCTAGATGGGAAACCACAAAGACAAGTGTAAGCGAAAAACCAAGTCCAGATTCTGAAAACAAAAACGGGCGAATCGCCCTGATCCGAAATCAAAATTTATATACACCATCAGAGAGGGAGCAAAGACAAAAGAAACAGCAAATCCGCGTCCATCAACCTCAGCTCCCTCTTCCTCTCTCTCTCTCTCTCCGATGCGGACAGTCCGTCATCGTGCACCAACCCACGAAGCCGTGACCCAGCTAAGTCCTCCCCCACCCGTCAGGTTCGCCCACACCCACAGTCCGTCGTGGCCCTCGTCAACCCCGCGCGTTTGGCACCAGCTCGTCGGGTCGCCCGACTCCCACTTCAACTCACCTCTTACTTCGCTCGTGAGCCGCCCCTCACTAATCACGCTACCCCGAACTTCCACTTAGCTGGTTAAGAGAGCTAACTAATCGTGCAACCGGAATTTATAGCGTGCATGCATGCGCAAAGAACACGGAATTACAAGGACTTAGAAAAAAGATTAGAGAGGGAGCGCCTGCGTTTTGCATGACCGGGCCGCGGCGTGGGGAACTTTTCCCCTATCCACGCATCGACCTGATCATGCAGCCCGCGGGCGGGCCAGACATCACAAGAAAAAGCGAAGGCGGGAAAGACGAAGCACAAGAAGAAAGATACAGTTACAATGGCGCCCACCCAAATTACAATTACACACACGTTAAAGGCGCCGATTAATCAGAGTTCCGTTGCAGCCGCACGAAGAAGAGCGTAAGCAAAAAACGCCACGCAACCTAGAGGAAATCCCTAATTACAAAATTACAAAATTCCTATCTAACAAAAAAAGGCGGAAAGTACAAATTATGAAAGGAAAGTCCGAAATTCCAAGAGCCATCGGGGCACGACAAGATTCGAAAAAGAATTCAAGAAAATTAAAAGAGAACGAGGCAAATTCCCACGCGATGTCCGCGCCTAAATTCCAAAATCGAAACAAAAGAAGCGACGTCAAGAAATATTAATCGCGTGCATGACAGCGCGCCAGCCATTCAATCGGTCAATCGACCGACCGTCCTGGGACACGCCCCGTTTCGAACCCAACCATCGGAAAAGAGACGACGAAAAAAACGAAGAAGCAGGGACACCAATGCAATTTCCTTCCTATCCCGATCTCCCATAATTGGCCCATTCCTCCCAGCTTAGGACCCCTCATCGCTATCGCGCAGGAAATTGTGTGGTGCGGAAATCAGTTCGTCACATATGTGACGCCCAGGTGGTTCCAATATAAGCAAGCTCCTGCTTGCTTGTTGATACGTGTCGATCTCTTTAATCGATCGACACGTGGAGCTTTTCCTCTTGTGTCACCTACCGTTTGAATGAGTGTGGACGTCATTCAGTGTGGCAAACACGGCTCTAACTAATAATTCCTCAGGAAGGGTCATTGGCAATCCAAGGATGGGGGGTCACACGTGTCCTCACCGTGACACGTCTCAATCGAACATGCATCAGTGGAAAAAGGAGGGTAGACCCTCTAAATTAGACGTTCCCGGGGAAGGGCAACCAGATCATCGATGGTGGTGGGGGGGGATGGTTCAGGGGGAGAGGGGGCATCAACTCACTGATGGCGGGGGAGGCGAAGGCGGGGGAGGCGAAGGCGGAAAGGGTAGCGTAGTGGAAGGAGCGATGGATGCGGGGAAAGCGAGGGTCTTCGTGAAGATGGCGAAAAGCGGCAATGTAGTCGGGGTAGATGGTATAAAGGTTTCGACGCAAGGTGACGCGAAAATTCTCATAGTCCTCGCAAGCGGGGATTGTTCCGGATATAACGCAGTATATTTCTACGTGGTTATATTCCCGCCAGTCTGCGCTAAACAGGAGCACATGCAGGAGGAAGGAATCAACTACAGAGCGGGTGGTGGCATGCGGATAGACTGAGACTAGAAGGCGGGTAGCGTAGAGATGGTAGAAAAGGTTGTGGGGAAAAGGGCACCATCAATTGGGGAACGAAGGTCTACCAGGGAGGCGGGTAAGCATGAGGTAGTCACGGGGTCGGCGAGAGAACGATTGGGGACGAAGCCCGAACGCCGAGATCTTGACGTAGACGAATGGAAGGCCGGGGTGTGGAGCCGGATGAAGCCGGCAATTCGCTTCTTCTTCTTCTTCGTCGTTGCGATCCCACTGCGGCGGTTCCATTGTCTTCTTCCTTTGGCGGCTCCGGATCACGCCACGCCGGCCACGAATCTCCTATCGATGGATCGATAGGCGTTCCTTCCTTCACGGGACGCTTTCCCTCCATGTTTTCCCGTCGCTTCCGCTCCCTCTCCTCTTCCTCCTCTTCGTTCTTATCGCGCTGCTGGCTCGACCCTCCCGCTATCCCTGCTTCTCTCTCCGGGACGTAGTCGGGGTCWTCCCGTCCCTCACTCGATAGCTCCTCTTCTTCTGCTTCTTCTTCCTCTTCCTGCACTTCCCCTACCTCCTTGTTTTGCGCCGCGTTTCTCCGCGCGATAGGGTCTCACAACGTAAGATCGGTGACGTTGATTTCCAAATAGAGCGCCAGGGAGGGATAGAAACAGTTGTCCTCGTTGATCTCCGTACACGTGGACCACACCAAGTGCGGCTCGAGCATCCGAGACAGCACGTGGGTACCGGGCTGCTCACCGCACCGCGACAAGATATCCAGGTGCAGATCGTCCACCAGCTGCGTCAGGAACACCAACAGCTCGCCCGTGATCAGGACGAGACCTCCTTCCTCCACCTTTCCAAATACGATCCCCAGCAGATCACCTTCCTCTGCCGTCCTCCAGGTCTGGATGAATAGGAGCTCCACACTGTCCTCTGGGTGCTCTGGCCCTTCTCCAAGTTCTCCGAATGGTGTCGATTCTAACCAGCGGAACTCTACCTCCAACAAGCAGAGGACGAGTTTAATGTAGTCCTCCCACCACACGTCCCACTTTTCTTCGTTCAATAGAGGCACCCTGGTCTCCTTAACACGATAGGAGAGAGTAGGGGCCCGCGCGGACTGCCAAAGAGTGGGGATGAAGGAGGGAAGGCCGAAGTAGGAGAGGCGGCGGCGACTCATTGGGGCGGCGCGAAGGGACGAAGCTCCGCAAGTACGATCGTCGGCGACCTGCAGGATGAGCGGAGTTGAAAGTCGGTGTCGTGTATGGGCAAGACGGTATCTCCCCGATGAGCAAGGAGTGTCATCCACGCCGTGCGCAGAGTCCGATAGATGTCGAGATGAATCGCCGAGGGAATCGCCGTGATGTCCCCTTTGAAGACGATGACGACGGTGACGTGGTTGATCCCGGGAGGGGACAGTCGTCAAAAGGCCGAGATCTCGGCCAGAACGCGCGTAGTGGCTACCTCCGTGAATCGGATCTCCGCCACCGCGTGGATTGCCGCCGTGCTGAAGAAGGCTGCGAACCGCAGGAGATCAGCGCAGAGATGGGACCGTTGCACTTGCCGGATGACACTGATTCGGCCCCTATGAGTAAGTAGCCGCGCACCGATCACTTGCTCCGTTGCAAAGCTCATGGCGATGGTGGCGGGGTCGGGGTACCTGAGGGAGAGCGAGACGAGGAGGAATGGATAGGTGATAAGCAGTGGTCGTCCTCTTCCTCAGCGGAGGAGGAGTCGACTGAAGGTGAAGATGGGGAAGAAGGAAGGGGACGTAGATCGGCTGTCGGAGACCTCAGGCGCAAGCCGCACAGTGTTGATAATCCCGAGCCTTTTCATTAGCCCTCCTCTGATCTTCCTTGGTGAAATCTTGGAGGGGGTTGCCCACTAAGGTAGCAATCAAAGCGATATCGGTCCATACTTCAACCCTTCTAAACTTTAGGGTCTTCTCCAATCCTTCTTACGTGGCATCCAAAAAGCGAGCCTCGGTCAGGATCTTGTTGACCCGACACAAGGGGCACAACCACGGCTTACTGTCATTTCTGTATTGGATGCATGAGCCATGGGCTCGTGCGACGCACTGTCGACAATCTATCCATTCCGCATAGCCTTCCCCGTTAGGACGCATGGAGACCGAATACACACGAGAAATGGCTTCACAAAAATAACAAAATTTATTAGGCAGGGAGAGCAGAGATGCGGAGGAGAGACGAGAAAGAGGGGTTACAGGATTACCTTCGTCACCCATTGCCACTGGTCTGCTTCTTGCCACGTGATAGAACTGCCACTTATCCGTACTTAGACCGTTCGTCGATTCCGGTTCTTTCCACGGAATGATTTCCTCGCCCTTAGGCACTTTAGCGGGTCGATGTTGACGTGTCAGTCCGTCCGCATTTCCGTGTCTCTCTGTCTTTCGATGGACGATGTCGAAGTCGTACTCCTGCAGGCGCACTGCCCAACGTCCAATCATGCCAGTGTAATAAGTGAGCTTTTTCAAAGCCAGCAGGGGCTCGTAATCCATCACAAGGCGGAACTTCTGTCCGTAGAGATACGGATGGAAGTGTTGGATTCCCCAGAGTACTGCATAACATTCGTCTTGAGGTGTTGAATCCTTCCTCCGTTCGTCCGGCACTGTTCGTGACGCGTACTCGATGACGTGTTCGCGACCATCGTTCCCCTTCTTCACTAGAATGGCGGAGATCGCTTCAAGTTGCCAGTCCGTTATAAGAATAAATTGCTTGGTAGGGTCCAGCCTGATCAAAATAGATGTTGTGGCCAGGGCCTCCTTGAGTGCTTCAAAGGCTTGTCCACACTCAGAGTCCCACTGCAGAGGCTGGTCCTTCCGAAGCAGATTCGTGAGAGGCCGAGCAATCGCCGCAAACCCTTTGATAAAACAGCGGTAGTACGACGCCAGGCCTAAGAAGGCTCGAACCTGCATCAGCGACGTGGGAACTGAGGCTTCTTTTACGGCCGCAACTTTCCAGGAATCCGTTCGCAGCCCTCCACGTGTCACTACATACCCCAAGAACGAAATTTCCGAGAGGAAAAATTCGCTCTTCTCAAGTGCAATCTTGAATCCAGGATCCTTTAGCGCTCCCAACGTCCATTCGATGTGTTGCGCATGTCCGTGATAGGTCTCCGAGTAGACAAGGATATCATCCATGTACACGATCACGTAGAAGTTCATCATTCCCTGGGTCAGCTGTGTCTTGTTGGCGAAGTTCTGGAACGTCACGTTCATTGCTCCTTGAAACATGGCAGGCGCGTTACAAATTCTCATTGGACATCGAACCCACTACCATGTGCCTTCAAACAATACGAAGGCCATCTTCGGTCGATCTTCCTCCTTAACCAGAATGTGATGGAAGTCATACCGAATATCAAACTTGCTAAAATAATTAGCACACCCAATCGCATCCAGCAAATCATCAATCCGGGGGAGGGGGTACACATCTTTGATCGTGATCTACGTTGCATAGAGTACACGTACGGGGGCTTCCCGTACGAGACGTACAGGTTATTTCTGTATGGGATCTGTACGGGAACCTGTACGGGAACCTGTACGTCTTGTATGCCCCCGTACAAAAAAGCAAAAAAAAAATTAAAAAAAAATTAAAAAAAGTCATCAAAAAAATCCGAAAAACAACTATGTGATGCAACAACACAAAACAAGCAACATTTGGCTGAGCATCATCTTCAGATTCGTATTAAAATTTGAGGAAAAAAAAAAAAATACCGGATTTAAAAAAAAANAAAAAAAAAAAAAAAAAAAAAAAAACTCGTAAGGGGCCCCTAGCGTACGAGTAGCGTACGAGTACGAGAGTACGAATCCGTACTCGTACGAGGGTGCGTACAAGTGGCAACGTAGATCTTTATATCATTCAACTTACGATAATCAATACATATGGGAATGGATCAGTTCTTTTTAGGTACTAACACTACGGGAAATGAGCATGGTCCAGTGGCAGGTTCGATCCAACCGCTTGCTTCGAATTCCTGAATTCGTTCTAGAACCTTTTTCCGTTCTATCAGTGAACACCGGTAAGGCTTGCAGTGAATTGGGGAATGATTTCCCATCTGGATTTCGTGTTGAATGACCAACGATAAGCCGATGTCAGTATCCGTTATGCTAATCGCTCCCTGGTACTCCGTCAGAATGTCCGCAATCAAACGATGAATCGCATCATGTACGTACTGTGAAACTTGTAATTCGAAAAGCTGATCCCAGATCCGTACATCGATTTACTTCGTGTGCGCTTGTTTTGCCACATTGGGGGGTGGCGCAGAGATAAACGAATGGTCCGATCGCCAAGAGAACACCGTGGCCATCATCTAGGCGTCTTCCTCCCGGATGGCCACGTGTCCTTCCAGGGTGATTCCATCACAGATATCTTGCCATGGTATGGTTTTAGCCACGATCTTAACTCCGAGCTCATTCGATTTAGCCTCAAAATGCTTAGGGGGTTCCAAAGAACTGGCTTCCGCCCCCAAGCGTAACATTTATACTTCTTTTGAGGGTGTCAACAGGGACTTCGGGAGATCTGTGATATCGCAGTAGTGCTTTTTGTCGTTATATCGGGTGAGGAGAGGGGATATTCCTTCATACAGGGTTTGAGGGGGTTCCAAAGAATCGACCATCCTCGAAATCTGTACGAGGGGTTCACCCAAAATCATCGCTTTGGTCCTTTGTATATTCCGACTGTTTAGATGCATCGTTCTTGTGATCGTTCTGGGCGGCAGGTAATAAATGCGTTGTCGTGCTAGTTTCAGAATTTCCGGATCATTTTTGTCACTGCTATCCGCATCCTTTGATGATGGCTCATCGTCTGCGAAGTCTTCCCTGGTGATCATGCAAAAAGTTCCTGCTATCATCGGAGAAACTCGCGGGACTGCGTTGACGGTAGTACGAAGAGTAAGCCTCATAGGTACAGCATAGGGTTTTCCTCCCGTATTTCGGAGGATGACTGACCGTCGCTCGAAATCCAAAATTGCTCGTAACGCCACAAGAGTGGGAAGGTCGAAAAGGACATCATAGGTGTTTACGTCTAATACCACGACATCTCATAGTGCATGCACCTTTCCTTGTCGAAAAGCGACGTTGGTCAATCTTCCCACTGTCTTGATCATTTCTTCGTCTGCCGAAACGAGTTGATCCTTTTCCACAAGAGTGATTAGATCATTTTTCCTACCCGCCCTCTCGACTACTCACAGCGAAATAGCCAAAACAGCAGCTCCTGAATCAATGATCGCATTGTACGGAACTCCCCATATTTCAATGTCGCATTCCGTAAATTTCCAAGGGATGGGTTTAATCTGTAGGAAATGATCGTCTTTCTGGATCAAGCCTACCCTTATTGGATCCGAAGTGCCTGCTGCATTTTTGCCCTGCGTGGGGTTTTTAGCTTTCACGTTCGTTGCTCGGGCGAGGGCGAATCGTTTTCGACTCGCCTTACAGTGTTGCAGCATTCGCTCATTAGCTTGTTCAGAGATCGAGAGCAGATGGCCGATCGGAAGTGGAATCCGACGGTCCAAAGCTCGGATGATGTTCAACACATCGATTTCCCCAGTGACGAAGGTGGGTCCTCCCGACTTCATCTCTCCTGGAGAAGGTCGCCACTCCGCCACTTCTTTCTGTTCCGGCGCCGGTCTGATCGTCCCAATCATTCCAAGTTCAGGATAACCAAGCAATACATACTGATCTAACGGGATGAGCTCGACGACCTCTTCCGTGGTAGCTAACGCACTTCCTCCACCTTCCATTTCTTCCATCAGGGCCCCTGGCCCGTTAGCAATGGGGGCTGCTGCCATTGGTGCAACCCCGACCCGTCGTTGCGGGGGCCGGTGGGGGCAATCACGGGCTAGATGCCCCAGTTGATGGCAAGCATAACAAACATTCAGATTGCTTGCGGCCCCTCCGAGAGCAGGTGCCGGGGCTAGTCCTTGTTGGATTGGAGCGGCACATACTGCGATGGGCCGCATGTTCCTCATCATAGCTTCTAGCTGAGCGTTATGTTCTCGCTGTTCCTTTTTGCTTTCCTGGATTAGGCTAATTAACGTTTTAGTCCGTTCAAAAATAGCAGTGGATTCATTTGACCGTACAGGGTTCTCAATCGGTGGCGGGGGTGCCGTCATGGCAGGTGTTGGCATCACAGGAACAGGGACACTCGTAATTACACTCGGGATCTATCGTTTAGGGGCTATCTGTTCCAGATAGATGACTGGGCCAGACACAAATCCCATATTCTCGAACTTGTTTGGCAACGCGGCCAGCTCAGTTTTTGCCCTCGCAAGTTCGGACGAATCCCCTTCCTTAGGATAGTCTTCTCCTTTCAGGAAGGTCGCCGCGAACTTTCGTTCCATCTTCTCTGCACCGGACCTAATCTGTTGTAGCGTATGATTGATGGGGGAGAACTGCTTCCGCAGCTTCGCCCTTATCATTCGGCTGCGAAGTCCATCGATAAACAAATCTCTCCCGACTTGTTCGCCCCGCTTAGTTTTCACAAACATTCGGTAGAATCGGTTTCGATATTGCACGATAGATTCCAGAGGTTTTTGCACGCGGTCTTTAATCATGAAAAGTGTTTGTTCTGGATGGACATAGTCAAATCGATTCAAAAAGTCTCGCTCAAAGGTTGGAAGATCCACCCATACATAGGTACTAAACCAATGATGAGCATCTCCTCCTAATCGACCGGGAATATTTACCTGAGCTTCGTTATCATCATACCGTTGTGCCCGGAGTGTGGCCAGCCATGCTCCTGCAAGATGATGTGCGGGATCGAACATATAGAGATTAGGTGGCGTCATGGGAGCCCGTGCTCGTGGGGCGGGTTGATTAGGATTTTGTTGATTCTGTTGCGGATTCGGATTCTGTGGATGAGCGTTCATGTTGGCTGCCCGTCGATTAGCCGATCTGCTTCGCGTAATGACGGGGTCGTGTCTATACTCGTTCCGGGGTCGAGGCCGCCCTCGGTTAGCCAGATCGCTTAATTATTGTGCTGTAAGTCCTAAAACCCGGCCACGTATCGGGCTCCGATACCAACCTCATGCCCAACACGACTTCCTGATTGGAGTAGAATGGGGGCCTTGAAGTGCGAAAAGGGGTGTGCCAAGGATTCTTGGGAAAGTGGGGGTGAAGTCCCAGGTCAGAATTGAGATCTCCTGTGGCAGAGTTTTTTGAGGGCACGGGTGCAATTTGGCAGAGAGGGCGGACCACTTCTAGTCATAAGGCAGATGGCATGCGCGGGTTATTTATGGTCGTTCGATCCATCTGTATAGAGGACGGCGGTTCATCGGAAGATCCCTTCAGGGTGGGTGTGACCCTAATGAGTCCAGTCGTCGGTTGTCGCCACGTGGCACCATTCGTCGTACGTTCTGGTTGGGCCCTCGCGGTCCTGAGGCTCTCTGGTTGCCTCGCTGTCGGCAATTTCCGCAGGGCGTGTTGGGCCAATAGGGGGCTATGGCTTCGCACGGGATGACCCTGAGTTGATGATACGGGAGAAGAAGACGAAAGGGAGGGAAGTTAGTGGAGATAACGACAAAGCCGGGGGAAATAAAGTAGTGAGTGTCGTCCGCGGTTGAGAAATCCGAACACCGCGGATCGCTGGTTGTGGCACAGTGGAATTCCCTAGGACATAGTCGGTTCTCGGTTAGGCAGGGGAACCTCTGGCGGAGGCACTCCTCAATCCAAGGGGTGAAGTACTCCGGGTCGTAAGATGAATCGAAGCTCCTGGAGCGCGTCATTATGTCATCGTAGAGCCGTGAAATTCCTAAGGACGTGTCTTCATCGATTGCGATCACCTCTTGTGAGTGCGTGTGGGCTGCGCGAGTCGTGCTTACACGTGTTCACAGGAGATTATCATTTCGTTGCTGACGAGGAAGGGCTGCATTCAGTCAAGGCAATAACCCCACAATCATTAAGTCTTTTTTATACGTGGTGGGTTGTGAATCGACGCGCGGGGACACGTGTAAGTGCGCAGATCAGATCGCGCCTACGTACGCTCCTGCGTGGCGTTCGCTGACTTTCTGGGCAAACAATTATCCAATCATCTAATCCTTTCGTAATTTATGAGCCAGCAAGATGCAACAATCGCAACAACTCAATCAATGGGTAAACAAGAACGGAAGCAGTACGGATGAGTACACAAAATTCCTACCCTACTCATGAAAGCATCCCGACGATTAGCGAAGGCAAAGATCATGCATACGGACAGTCAACCATTCATTCATTCATTCATTCAACATAATGCGTACAATATCCGAGAGTGCATCAAGAGGGTAAACAAAGGCAAGGATCAGGCAGAAAGACAAGCAAACAGACACAACATCCATTCATCCATTCGCACACCGTGTCCGATATGGGAAACCGCAAAGACAAGTTTGAGTGAAAAACCAAGTCCAGATTCCGATAACAAAAACGGGCGAATCGCCCTGATCCGAAATCAAAATTTATATACACCAACAGAGAG